ATGCCTCCGTCTTGCACTCCTTTCAAGACAATCCCCTCAGGACCTGGGCCACCTGTGCAATGAAAATCATTTCCAAACATAGACAATAAACTCTTTGACAATGGTCTCAGTACCATTTTTCTTGATAGGTCTCCTCAGGCAAGGGGGGAGAAAAGCAAAACTTAACTACTAAGACTACACTAAAAAGCTTTTGCACAGCAAAGGACACCATCATCAAAATTAGAAGGCAACCTATTAAAATATTTACAAATAATATATATAACCGGGATTAGTATCAAAGATATATAAAGACCTTAGACAAAAAGCCATCTGATTCAAGTAGGGCAGAGGACCTGAAGAGACATCTTTCCAAACATGACATACACATGGCCAACAAACACATGAAAAGATGCTCAACATCACTAATCAGGGAAATGCAAACCAAAACTACATCACTTTACATCCATCAGGAATGGATAGTATCAAAAAGACAAGAAATATCAAGGGTTGGTGAGGATGTGGAGAAAAAGGAACCCTTGTGGACACTGTTGGTGTAAATAAAACTGATTGCAACCACTGTGGAAATCAGTATAGAGGTTTGTCAAACATTAAAAATAGAAATACATCGTGATCTAGTTATTCCATTACTGGCTAGTTACAAAAGGAAAATCCTAGTTGAAAAGGTATATACACTTGTGTTTATTACAGTGTTATTTACAATAGCCAAGATATGAAAGCAATCTAAGTGTCCCTGATAGATAAATGGATAGAGACACGATGTATATATATATCTATATCTATATATAGATATAGATATAGCTATCGATATCTATATATAGATATAGATATATAGATATAGATCTAGATCTATAGATATAGGTATAGATATAGATATCGATAGCTATATCTAGATATCGATATAGATATATATAGAACAGTATTACTCAGGCATAAGAGGGAGATCGTGCCATTTTCACTAACATGGGAGGAACTTAGCAAGTATAACGCTAAATGAAATAAGTCAGACAAAAGACACATATGGAATCTAAAATGCAAAGCCAAGCATTAATAAACCCATAAATACAGAGAACAGGTGGTTGACAGAAGGAAGGAAATTGGCAAAATAAGTGAGCAAGTGGGAGGTATAGGCTTCCAACTATGGAATAAGGAGGATAAAAGGTACTGCACAGAGAATATAGTCAATGTTATTGTAATAGTATTGTATGCTATTCCTGTATAGCACTGTAGTTTTCATATGCTATTTTTGTTATTTTTAAAAAAAATATTATTTATATTTTCAAAAAGAAAAAAATTAACATTTGGAAGTTCCCCCCATGGGAAAGGGGTGACGGAGAAGGAACAGGACTGGCTCCTATGCAGGTGGCACGTCAGGTGCAAAGGGCTGAGCGATTGGTCCTGGGATCTTTGTCACACAGCATTAATAATAGAATCTTTTCTTCTTGGTCGGTTTTTGTTTTGTGTTTTGTTTTTAGAAAAGGGGGTTGAGGGAGGAGAAACAAAATCAGAAAAATGCCAAAAACCATTTTCCAGAACATCTAAAAACAGAGAACCACAGTTCTTGTTGAGACAGTATGAATTCTGGATGCGTTTTTTTTTTCTAGTTTTCAACACCAATAAAGATTTTTTTGCAAAAGCCACCATATCAGAACACTCATCTTCCAGCTCAGATAACCTCCTTCCCTTTTGCCTTTGCTGGTTTTTCATAAAAGGATAAAAGGAGATATTCTATCCTTGCAAACAGTAAGTGCTCACAACGAGAGAGCTCTGCTGACATTCACACGGTGGTGAAGAGCTTTCACAAACATCCAAGTTTCCGCACAGTTGGATGGACTACAATTTCCCTCAACATAAATACTGCTTGGAATCCACAAACTGAGTTTTGAGAAATTCTCCAAACTACACTTATCAACACAGCATAACCTGTAGAGTTATCAAATCACAGTTGTATATTTGAAACTAATACAGCATTGCTTGTCAACCATACTTAAAAAAAAAAAATTCTGAAACCTAGATCACGATCTTCTGGACCACTACCCAGACCAACATAGCTACTGCTTCAGAAGGTATTACTTGTCTCATCCTTTTGATGAGTATCCAGCATCTACACCTTGCTTTGTTGGCTAGCAATCCAGAGATAGGGAAGACAGACACTGATCTTGTGGATCTTAGAGTTTGCTCGAAGTACTCATGGTGGAGCCCTCATTCCATCAGCCAAAGAGTGGTTTCAATATAATAAGTAACCTATAATAAGTAATCAATAATGACTGCTGCGATTTCTTTTGCTACATGGAATAATGACCAGAAACAGAGCCAAAAGCATCTCTGGAAATGAGGACACTGCAGAGTTGGCATGGACTTCAATACACATTCCAGAACCTTATTCTTTTAGCTGTGCAGCCATAGGTATTTACAGGTTGGTCATTTCTACCTACAGTGGTGCCTTTGGTAGAAGTGGTAGTCTTGTGGGGTTGAGGAGAAGTACAGGGACAAATAGTTAGCCATTTCAAGCAGATATGTTAGCCCTGCAGTATTGCTTACTTGAAAATGGGAATTGTGGAAATTTGTAACTGACTTGATATTTTCCACGCAACTTTAAAAAAAAATACATACCTTCCATGGAAAACAAAGTGTATTCACACTTGTAACTTCAGAGGTATCCTTTGATCCAGTGAGTATAACCGTGGAAGCTCTTTTAAGTCAAATTACAAAATGCAATACACCTCAAATTTATGCAAAGTCTCTTTTCCCCTTAAAAACAAACAGTTGTGGAGACTTCTAGATCACAGGAGGCCATGCATTCCCAATACTTCACACAGAAAAGAGCTTAAGTATTATGAATTATCTACATGACTAATTTCTTCACTCATTCCTCTAAATATGTGGGCTACAAATGACAGTCTGGACGTTATAGTATCAGCTACAAAATATATTCATAATATTGAGCTTCAGAAGCAAACAGATGTTGCATCTTTAATGAAAAGTGACCAATTTGTAAGATATGGTGTATACATATATATGTATGTATACATAGGTCTATGTGTATATATATATAGATATAGATAGATATGTATACACACACACACAATGAAAGATTACTCAGCTATACAAAAGGATGAAATCTTGCCATTTGCAATGAATGGATGGAGCTAGAGAATATTATGTTAAGTAGAAAAGTCAGTCAAATACCCTATTATTTTACTTGTGTGTATTTTAAGCAAACAAATGAGCAAAAAGGGGAAAAAGAAGCAAACTAAGAAACAAACTTTTAACTATAGAGAACTGATGGTTATCTGAGGGGAGAAAGGGAGGGGGCGGGTCAAACTGGTGATGAGGATTAAGGAGTACCCTGGTAATGAGCACAAGGCAATGCACGGAAGTGTTGAATCACTATGTGGCACAAGTGAAACTAATATTACACTGTAGGTTAACTGGAATTTAAATAAAAACTTAAAAGAAAAATAAAACCTCATTCTTCCAGAGGTAAAGGAGACAAAAAACAGCTCAACCTAATTCTTTACACAATCTCCCCAAAAAACCCTCAGTTGACATTTTGCTTTTATGCTAAAATAGTATCATTAAGTAATTAAGGGCATCCTATTTAATTGGATGCATTTTCTGTTTTATTTCTAGACCTCCGTAATGTATGTGCTTACATTCAATATACATACATTTTACTGTATGTGAATATTTAAAGGTGTTACTGTATAAGCAATTAAACTGAATTATGAAGCAGGCAGATGACAAGGACCATTTCATTATTCAGAGGCTTTTGTAATTGGCATGTACAATGTGCTTCCTTTATCCTCAAACTACCACCTCATAGTGCCTTGCCATGATGGTAGGGTACCATGTTTGCTACTTTTTCAGGACTACATTCCTAGATTTATTAGCTTTAGCTCTGATTACTGTATCTTATAGAAGATCAGCATTCTACTCCTTAAGTCCTTCTTATTAGCTCTTGGTACAAAAATTTCTCTCCGAACTCTGATGTGTTTCATGCCCTAGCCCTGACACTACCCTGCTGCGGATACTTGACCATGGCCTCAGAGAAGTCCTTTGCAGCCAGAAGACCTTGGCTCTAGTTCTAGCTCTATTGCTAGTTACATGAAAATTGGTCAACTCTGGAAATGGACTTCTCTACTTTTTGTCTCAATTCTTGCAACCATGTGGGGACCCCAAGCACCCCTGGTCACAATGCCATAGCATATTCAATTTGTATTTGCCAGATGCTATTGGGGGAGAAGAGTGTAGGCCATTTGTGTTTTAAAGCACAAAATCATCCCATGGCTTGAGAAATGTGAGTAAAAAAGTTAAATAATCTATTTGTTACTTCTGTGAAGATACCTAACAAATCCACATTATCTAGGAGAAGTATTTAACACAAATGCTTCAACAGTTTTTTTTCATCTTCCCATGGAGCATGTCACATGACTAGTATCCCATTCCATAGACTACACCATAGAAAATGCTAGATCAGCTTTCTTAAGTAACCTCTACTTCTACAGAGCCATGCAATATTGATATATAACTATAATCACTACATATTAACTACATATCAGAGTGCTGTGTTTCAGAATTTCATTGATCTAATTAGAATGTACTGAGTATTCTTTAAATGTTTGTTCCCCTAGCATATCAAGTTTATGTTTCTTTTTTTTTTTTAAACATGTTTTTAATGTTTGTTTATTTTTGAGAAAGAGAAAGAGAGACGGCGTTTGAGTGGGGAAGGGGTGGAGAGAGAGGGAGACACAGAATCCAAAACAGGTTCCAGGCTCTGAGCTGTCAGCACAGAGCCCAACGCGGGGCTTGAACCCGCGAACTATGAGACCATGACCAGAGCCGAAGTCGGATGCTCAACCGACTAAGCCACCCAGGCGCCCTTGAACACAAGTTTTTATACAGTACAGTTTGATAACAGGGTCTGAGGAGACCAGGGGGAAAAAGTAGAGAAAAATATTTGGAAAAATTGAGTGTTTCTCTGTAGACATTATAACAAAGATATCTTAACTTTTTAAATAACCTAAGATATCTTTTCTAATAAGCTAAGATGATTCACAGAATCAACTAAACATCGCCACTTTTTTTGTTGTTTTAAAAAACATCTATCCATTGTTAGAAGGGAAAATTAGTCAGATTCACGATCAATCAAGCCCACTTTTTCAAGTTCCCTGAGATGACACATACTGATATACAATTACACAGCATAACGTTATAGCAATAAAGTATTCACAACGATCACTTAAAGTCCAATTTCTATTTCACCGAACAAATCCTGCAGGATAAACTATATCCTTACACTCGGTTGTTGCTATAAATTTATTCAAATCAAGAAAACTGTCATATTTAAAGCTCTCGAAGGAATTTTGGCACAGACGAAATCATTTTGTTAAGTCCCTGAGCTCTTTAACAGGCTGGTTTTTGTACTGTGTCTTCCCCCAGCCACCTGGGCCACTCACCGCCTCCCCTGGCCCCACGCTAAGTCTAGGTCAATATTTGATGCTATAACCTTTCGAACCCACTGTGCTCCAAAGCCGCATAGCTCGGAGGACGGGCGCAGCAGGAGTCCCCTCCACCCCCCAAAGAGCATCCCCTATAGTTTCTCTGATGTGTATTAGCAAGATGGAAGAGTCAGAGGGGGTGCGCTTCACACATGTGTCTTACTTCTCAAGTTGCCTACAACGAAGAGTCAATGTTTCAATGTCTCCAGGGCTTTATGTCTCAGATGCTCATCCAGACACTGGATGGCAAAGAGGTCAGTGTCGGTGTCAAACTTGTTGGCGAACAAGTGGTGCTTGCGTAGCATCCAGTTCAGGTCACCTGCTCCGAAAACACACACGGAGCGCACATGGACCCCGCTGCAGGGCGGGTAGGGGGCACCCTTGGAAACATCACCTTCAAAGTACTGCCACTTGACGAACCTCGCGATGGCATGCATGTCAGACATGTCATACTTCTGGCTTAAGGGCAGCGAGCCGGGGACTTCGGGGATCCTCTGGATAGTGGCCCAGAGATACTCATCAGGACTGTATGTGTCTTTTGCCCACTCCATAAACTTCTGGATTTTTTCATTCTCCAGCACGTACTCCACATACTTCCTGCTGACCACAAAATAGGCACTGCCTGAAAACAGAGGTGTTTCGAGAGGGGGGTGCGTTTTGTCAGTTCCCGTGTTGGTCAGCTTCCCATTAACAACTGTATAATGCTTTTTCCACCTTTCTTTTTTATTGGATGGCATTCTCTCGCTCTCTAGGTTGTTTTCACCCATTAACGAGTTGAGCTTCCGGACAATTTCCAGGTTGGTTTTAATAGGAAAATCCATACCGCAAAGATTTATCAAGTACTTCCAGTGTGCACTCATCTGGTAGAGATCCTGCATGCAGTTGAGGTCGGCCTGGACCCGGCTCCATGAGGCATATACCACACTCTCCAGCTGACTGGCCACGAAGACATTACTGAAGCAGGAGGCAATGCCCATCACCGCGGCCAGAAAGGACTCCTCGGATTTTTTGTCCACGTGAATGCAGTACAAATTCTGAGGCATGTAGATGGCCCTCAGGAGCCTGTCAACCATCTCGATTTTGTGATGAACCACTATGGAATAGGCAATGGGAAACTCTGCCTCTTCCTTACTAAGGGGTTCAACGATATATTTGCGCCTCTTGATGAATGAGTTACAATCTCTGGTCATGTTTATATAGTCACTGGTTGTCCATCGAGGGCGCTGCCTAACTTTCACGGTTAGAATTTCAAGCTGTACCTTTTGGATTTCATCTACATCACCCTGTAAAACTTTGGTGCAGTTAATATTACTATTAGGATTCTCCCCCACCAGCTCCAAATGCCCCACACTTACAAATTCGGGCTTCTGATGAATTCTTAAAACAGAGAAGGTGACAAGGGAAAAAACAAGAAGCAAGAAGTAGTATTTAGTGGGATAAGAGAAAAGTCTCCTTCGCAACAACTTTCTCAGCATTTCAAACAATGATGGGAGGATTTTCCTTAATTAAGGGCGGGCTTCCAGGCTTCAGGCAGTCATGATTTCTCTTCTCTCATGACCTTGCGAGTTGTCAGTTCGCATTTATCAAGACTGCAAAGGCGGCTTGAAATGGAGAACGGCACTTTCTGCACCGGGCACCAGGGCAGTTGGGTTCGGTCAGTTCCTGAGTGATCCAGCAGATCCTGAGTGATCCAGCACTCTGCAGCCCCTCAGCAGGGGGGTGGTGGACAGCGGCTGGGGAGGCCGAGCGTCGGGAGCAGAGGATGACCGGGAAGTCCCACTCCACCTGGGCGGCCCATAAGGCCCAGCCTGGATCTGCAGACGACCTCATCCACCGGGGAAGAGAAGTGTGCGGCCCGCCGGGGTGCCTGGGGCTCGTTCTGCACCGAAGGAAAGCGCTGCAGCGAGCCGGCCGCCGGGGCGCAGGAGGGTGCGCTACCGCGCGGCACCCCAAGCCCGCCGCGCACTGGCCGGGGCCCGCGCTGCGCTCAAGTTTATGTTTCTTTACAAGTCTCACAAAACAGTACTTCACGGATATTTAGCAAAAAAAAAAAAAGTAAAGAAATGATATAAATTCTTTTTTTTAAATATTTTGAGAAAATTCTATGCAAAATACACTTCCTGCAAATCATGAAGTTATTGTCACCATTAACTGACCAACTATTTTGAAATTTGCATATACAGCTTCAGAGAATGTACATATGGCATGTTTAGAGGCTACCTTTTTAAAAAATTATTTAGCCACTTTTGAGATAATGGACATATTAGTTTTAGGTATACAATGATTTATATATAGATCATATACATGATACATATAAATGAAATCACAATAACTTATCTATCACATAGTTAATATTTTCATTTGTGATGAGAACTCAGATCTACTCTAAGCAACTTGCAAATATACAATATTCACCATGTCAACTATTCACCATCCCATGTGCATTACATCCCTAGGACTTAGAACTCAAAGTATTTACCTTTTGACCACACTCACCTTCAAAGTCTTCAACAGAAAACTGATTTAAACAAAGTGAAGAGACTGCTTACAAAGAGCATTACTTTTGTCAGATAGCTGTGCCCAAAATTAGAAAATGATATTCCACAACAAAGTAAATACGTGCAAATAATTAATAACCTTATCCTTATTTGCTACATGAAGTACTACCAGAATCAATATTGTAAGTCAACTATACTTCAATTAAAAATAAGAAATAACTTAAAAGTTAAAGAACACGGAGTTGAAGAAAGGGAAAGTGAACATAATGGTCCCACCTGAAATATGAAAGCATATCGTTGTTTTTATTTTATTGTTGCTAAAAATTTTCTCTATCATGAATAACATCAGTGAAAGCAAAGGTATTAAGTCAGTGTAATCCAAGTGAGGCTTTTTAGTTGACAAGTGCCTCTAATAGTAACTATATCTTAATAAACAGGGCTTATTCCTGATGATCACATGATGTGCCTTAAGTTATGTAATTGTGTAAGAAGGTGAATGTAATCAAGTCAAGCCTTTATAAACACAACAGTATAGAAGTCTGACCTACAGTAAATATTTTCAAGGGTTATTAAACAGGAAGTCACTGAATATCAAAGTCAGTCTGTTAAGAAAATTGTTTTCATTACAAATTCTTTGGTAGTTTAATTATATGTGAATGCCATTTTTGCCTCATACTGTCACTCAAATTCTCTACAGATAAAAGCTTTGGTATTGAAATTGGTTGAACATCTTTGATCATTTAACACAAACCCTTATTTTATTGGATACACTATACAGAATTCCGTTCTTCCCAATTTTCATGTTAAGGCCAGAATCACTTTCAATCACAGATCACCAAGCTGTTCATATAGCACTATAGTCAATTAAATCACACAAATTTCTCAATCACTGTACTCACTGTTAACTTGTGGAAAGTAAAGAAAAAGACAGCACAATCCTCTGTAAGGTCAGGTAAGATAATCCTCTAAGTGGTGTACGTACATAATCCATGTGCCCAGTGTTGAAGCATTAAGCTATTTCTCCATTTTATCTGGAGCCAACATACAAAAACTATCATTTTGAACTTTTCTTTAAATGGTTCACAATTAAACTTCAAGTCCAAATCACATTTTCTTGTAGTTTTCCTAAGAACATTACCAATATCCTGTGTGTGTTTGAATAAATGCAGTTAATGCCTCCTTAAAAATGAGGACAAAATGTGCAAAATCTCAATCTCCTTCCTCAATTGGAAACACATCTGCAGTCACTTACATGGAGACTGCATTCCTCTTATCACTTCAGAGCAATTTTGGAAATGGACTTCATGAGTGGAGATGAAACAAGTTGAACTAGACTTGACCACTGACCATTTCTACAAGGTGTCCCCAACTGTTCTAGTTTGCTAGGACTAAGGGGTTTCCCAGGCCAGAAGTCTTAATCCTATAACTAGAAAAGTCCCAGGCTAAACAGAGTCTGTCACTCTTGCTCCAAGATTCCTTTTACATGGTTTACATCTGCAAATACAGCTGTGAGCACAGCTTTTCACTAATGAGATATATTGTGTGTGTGTGTGTGTGTATATATATATATATAATTATGTGTAATTTTATATATATCATTATATATAGAACCATGAAGTCTGCTGGCTTTCTTGTATCCTTATCTGGACATTCTTTAGGTTTTTTGTAAAAAGTCCAGTTGGTTAACATACAGCATGAAACTAGTTTCAGGTATACAATATAGTGATTCAGCACTTTCATTTAACACCTAGTGCTCATCACAAGTGCACTCTTTAGTCCTCACCTATTTTCCCCAACTACCCCTCTCCCTCCAGTAGCTATTCATTTGTTCTCTATAATCTGTCTTGGTTTGCCTCTTTTTCCCTTGCCTTCCCCCTCTCCCCCACCCCCAGTTTCCTTTGTTTCCTTAATTCCACATGTTCTTTTAACGAAAAAGAGTGGAGAAGCACTAAACTCCGGTAATTTATAAATCATCTGAAATTTGACCTTGGACAAAGCGAGCAAACATATACAAACCCAAACTACCTCAAAAGAGACTTGCCCTAAATTTTTCCTCCTACCCACCTACATTTGGAATGTTCCCCTCTTCCCTAACCCTCCTTGTGAAGTGAAAACTCAACACAACCAGCTGACCACATCTACAAATATCTCATCTTCAATGGAAATTGGCTCTCCTGGTGGGACTAAAGTTCTAGGAAGTGACACGTGCACACACTAGGCTACTGTTTCAAGCAATCTGAGAAGCTGATTTACTTTCTATGAAGTCAGAAGGTCTGTTTTCCACTTGATGAACCGTGGCTTTAAAACTCTCATGGACAACTTCAATTATCTCCAGATTATGTCACAGTATCTTCCGAACAGTGATTATATTGATTTGTATGTGCAATACAGGCAACAAAACATTTCTGAGTATGCCCATTATTGCCAAAACTGCATGTAGCTATTCCAAAATTTTTTCAAGAAACATTCCTCTTGTACTCCTTTCCTTCTTCTAGTCATTATTTCTACAGCACGGATATCAGAGTTACCCATCATTAAACAGACTTCAAAATCTGTTGCATTTACAAAATCTAATATTTTCCTTGGGAATCACTGCCCTCCTTCCCACAATTTTCTTAATAAGTATCTCTTTTAATTGCTTAAAATTACTAAGTTTATCCTACACTGTCCCATGTAATTGATACAATTTCCTACATTATCAACCGACATCCTCCAAGTCAGTGCTCTCATTAGAATCCCCTCATAATGAGCATGCCACACCCACATGTAGATAATTATACATCTAGATAATTACACATCTAATTTCTTCAGATTCAGAAGTAAAAACAGGTTATCAGGATAAATTTCTATATATTGCTATTTTCATTTTAAAAATTCAAGTCAACAAAAGTCCATATTATACACAATTCAGAAATCATTTTGAATCATCTATTACAATGTCATGCATTCTGAAAAATATTACTTTACTCCCTTATTCATTATATCTTTCATTAATTACTGAATACCTGCTTGGTACCAGATACTGTGCTTAGGCAACATAGGCCATGTATTCTTAGTACATATCAGAATTTAAGATAAAATGTTATATATAAGGAAAAAAAAATAGGGTCTTAGTATCTTCAAATCACAATGTACTTAACTGGGCATTTCTGCTTAAGAAAAATTTACAATAACCAATAGATGTATCCTGATCAAGTATGTTCAATCAAATGGGTCTAAGTTCCTTACATGTGAATAGAGGTACTTCCAGCCATGAGGTATGTTCCAATTACCTGAATCTGTATAAATAGGTGACTATTAACTATTAACTAAATGAGGAGATTACTGAGCATGAAAGGTGCTTACTCCAGAAGGATAGGCCTAAATTCAGAAGTGTCCCAAACATATAAGTATGTGTATGTACATATTTGTATGAATATAGATAGAATATAGAGTTCTACCACTAACAGAACTAGCCTAGGTCCTTCACTAGGTCTAGAATTCTGTTCCAGGATACTCCACCACTCCTGCTCAAAATAAGTATTAGTATCATGTTAAGAACTCTTATAGCAACTGTGATCTTACATTCCAAATTTGCTAAAGCAGCTCTCTCAGTAATAGCCTTTCCTTTTATCCCCATACATTTATAATGTAAAATGTCATTTTGTCCCAATGAAAATGAAAACAGTGGTTCCAAATCTTTGGGATGTAGCACAAGTGGTCCCAAGAGGGAAGTTTATAGCAATGCAGTTCTACCTCAAGAAAATCTTGAACCACCCACCTGTACACCTAAACGAGCTAGAAAAAAAAAAAAACACAACCCAAAACCAGCAGAAAGAAGGAAATGATAAAGATTAGAACACATATAAGTAATATAGAAACTAAAAAAATACAACAGATAAATGAAACCAGGAGCTGGTTCTTTTTAAAGATCAACAAAATTGATACACCTCTAGCCAGACTAAAAAAAAAAAAAAAAGTGCAGAAAAAGTCACAAAT